TTGAAATAAATACTTCACATTACAATAAACTTAAATTAAAATTAGCATTCGCTAATAACGCCATTAACCCGCTGTGCCTACACGAAAACAAAGAATAACAACAAAAACACAATTGGTGATTAACTAAAAGACGTCACTGGAATTAGAGCTTATTTATGCGAATTATGCCAAAGCCATTAAAAAATCAAAACAAAATGAAAAAAATAATCAGTCGTAGAAGAAATCCAGAAAGTAAATACCACAAATATTCAGTACATATGTATGTATGTATAAACATACATAATATATCTAATGGCTCATTAAGCAAATTTTATGGATGCGGATTAGTTCTGGACAACAAACATATAATAAACATTTAATTTATCTAGTGTCGACAATTTTTGGCTATTTTTAGTAGAAATTTCACTTTCAATATAGTATTCCTGACACAATTCGGTATAGCTGGAGACGGAGACAGTGTATCTAAAATGTTTTCAAATATTTAATAATTTTTAAATATTTTGTTTTTGTATTTCATAACTATTTAAAACATTTTTTTTACATCTCCTATTTGTCTTGTTTTGCTAAAAATTTTTCATAAATAAACAAATATGTACTATTTTGGTCAAACATTTCTTGTCACTTTTTCGCTATAAACATTATTCCATCAGTTTAAAACTTTCGTTAGTGTAAATCGAAAGCGAGCGAACCATTATTTTGCTACACGAACTGATACAGCATCGTCTACGTAAACCTCACAAATTTCATTGGTATCTTGCGTGGTATTCTTCCCTTTTTCAAATATAGCGAATTTCTTCATTATTTGCACTCATTTTTTAACAGCTGGGTCGGACGGCGGGCAGGATGCAGGTCTCAATTTCTATCGGAAACAAAAAATTCAACGTGATTCATATTTGCTAGTAACTTATCTTTTAGTTAAACTAAGAAAATTCCAAAAAAAAAAAGTGTAGAACTTCAAAAATCTTTTAAAAATTGAAAAAAATTGTTTTTGTCCAAAAAAATGGACTTTATGATTTTTAAAAATATGTTCAAACTTGACTTTTCTCGCTTTCTTATTTTAGTTTAAATAGAAAATAATGCCAGGATAGTAAACTTTGACCCACGTTTAGTTTTGATTTTCTAATCCAAAGTACATGCTATGACAATACGTGATTGGTAGCACTGGAGATATATTAGTTTGTCAAAAAAGTCTTGCGGTATTTTTATTGTGTTTTCAATTGTTCATAAAATTTTTTTTGATGACTCATGCCGAGCTACTATGCTACTATGCCGGTCTCTTTCGACCAATTCAGCGATTTTATCGCAATTTTCGACGACAGGCCTTCCGGAGCGTGGCGCATTTTCGATCACCTCTACATCAGAATGAAAACGTTGAAACCATCGTTGTGCGGTGGAAATGGAAACTGTATCGGGTCCATAAACTGCACAAATATTATTGGCGGCTTGAGATGCATTTTTGCCTTTATCGTAGTAG